ATGACCCACTGATTATCATTTTAAATAATCATGATTACAATTATGGCCAAATTAATTGTAATCATGATTTTTCCCATAATCGAGCAGCCCTACACTAAACATTATTTATCAACATAAATGTAACCTAAAAGTAATCTATGGAACTGAGGAGAAAAATTGCAAAAACTTACATCATGCAAAGAATTCTGGGAAAGTAAATTTAAGTTTAGTCAATGTATATATATATATATATATATATATATATATATAGTAACAAAACCTACTTTTAATCAGATTTTGACAGTAGCTTTTTTTATCTGTAAATTTTTTTTCCAGTGTATACAAAAGTGTCCTCCAGCTATATTTCTCATGCTGACAGTGAGCTCGGGATGAGAAATAAATGATTAGAGCTGAAAGGAATGATGAGTATTGGCTGATAAATGAGTGCGGAGTGAGAAGGCGGAGGGGATTACGCCGCGTCGGAACACTTTAAGAGTATTATGGATTAAAAAAAGGTCAGAATGTTTAGCAACATAATGCTAAACCTCTTAAGCGAAACCCAACTGCATGCTGATAAACGGGGACGGAGGGGTGGGGGCCAAGAAAAGAGGGCTTTAACATCTGTTTGGGTCCGAGAGAAACATGTTGAAAAGACACAGAGAGCAGAGTGGGTTTTTTAGCTGCGGTCTCATATCTCATTATAAATGATAATAAAAAGGACACGTGTGGACAACTAATCGCTGCTAATAGGCAAGATTGATGCAATGTGTGTTTGACAGCTGTTAGTGAATGTGTCGTTTTATTGTTGAGAATTAGACCAGGTTAAGTTTTAGTGTCCTTCATATACAAATGTCAGTGATTTCAATGGTTAAAGAACAGTAAAAATTATATAATAAAAATCTGTTTTACTGTACCTTTCCTTAATGTATACAGTGAATAAGTGTAAACTCACATTCCTAAAATTCCCAGAATCAGTCATGTACATTTGCATTGTAAAAATTTAATGACAAAAATTCACAACAACAAATATTGTTGTTGCTTTAACTTAATAAAATTTAAGTTATTTAGGTTTTAGGTACATTTTTTATGTTTTACAAAGTTTAACTTAACATTTTTAGTCAGTTTGATGTAAATTGAAGTGACATGACTAGAAAAATTTATTTTACAGTGTAAAGTAGTGCAGATGTTAGCACTTTGAAAAAATTTTTAAAATACAATAATTTACTGTATTTAGAATTTTTTTTATGTTTTTACGGTTTATTTAAGTTAATCAGGGTTTCAACAAAATTTCTTTTAAGTTATTAAAGTTTACCTTAATATTTTTAGTCAGTTTGACTGATATAGATTGAAATAGATTGAATTTGAATGTTAGCATTCAAAACATTTAAAAAAGGTACAAAATACAGTAATTTACTGTAAAAAAATTACATTTCTCTTACGTTTTTACCGTATTTATGATAGTTACATTTTGGCAATCCCAGTTGCCGTTTAAAATAGTGCCATAAATTTTACAGATTTTTTTAACAGATCGCTTTTATTGACTTTTATTTTCTGTTTAAAATGTAGCATATATTTAGTTTTTTTTTTTCTTTTAGATGATTATAATTTTTTTAAATATGGAAAGTCATGAAGTTCTATAAAGTTTGCTGCAAATAAACATTTCTATTCTGAGCAATTCAAGACAGAAATTAATACTTCATGTATGTATCAAATTGATTACAAGTGCAAATTTAGACATTAATAATGCCATACAGGCTTTCTATTGTACACAAGAGTTTATTTTAAACGTTTAATTCCTCAAATAATTGAAATAAATGTCAAAATGATGACTGTTCATCATTAACAATTAATGTTAATAACACAGATAATAAATAATAATCGAATAAATACATAATAATGTTTCATTTATTTATAGGATATATAGGATAGGATAATATTAATATAAATAAAAAATGAATGGG